AAAAAAAAGAGTATCATAGATCTTCCTGCCCTGGCTGGCTTTGAACTGTGATCCTCAGATATCTGTCTCCTGAGTAGCTAAATTACAGGAATGAGCCATTGATGCTCCATTTCAGGGTTTTGTTTTTTTGGTTTTTTTGGTCCATTGTGGGGCTTGAACTCTGGGTCTGGGAGCTGTCCCTCAGCTCTTTAGCTCAAGGTGAGAGCTCTTACACTTGAGCTACAGCACCACTTCTGGTTTTCTGAGTGATTTACAGGAGATAAGAGTCTCACTGACTTTACTGCTGGGGCTGGCTTTGAACTGCAATCCTCAGATCTCAGCCTCCTCAGTAGCTAGGATTACAGGCATGAGTCACTGGCGCCCGGCTTCATGTTCGTTCGTTCCTTCCTTCCTTCCTTCCTTCCTCTCTCTCTTTCTCTTTCTCTCTCTCTCTCTCTCTCTCTTTCTTTCTTTCTTTCTTCCTCGATCATGGGTCTTAGACTCTGGGCTTGGGCACTATCCCTCAGCTCTTCAGCTCAAGGCGAGTGTTCTACCGCTTAAGCCATAGCTCCACTTCTGGTTTTCTAGTGGTTTATTAGAGATAAGAGTCACAGACTTTCCTGCCTGAGCTGGCTTTGAACTGAGATCTTCAGATCTCAGCCTCCTGAGTAGCTAGGATTACAGGCATGAGCACCGGTGCCTGGTCAGGTACCTTTACAGGAGGATCCATGGTAAATTTTTGCTTGAACCAGGTGCTGGTGACTGATGCCTGTAATCCTAGCTACTCAGGAGGCTGAGATCTGAAGATCATGGTTTGAAGCCAGCCAAGGCAGGCAAGTCCGTGAGACTTTTATCTCCAATTAGCTTCCAAAAGTACCAGAACTGTAGCTCAAGTGGTAGAGCACTAGACTTCAGCATATAAGCTCAAGGATAGCACCCAGGCCCTGAGTTTGGGCACCATTTTTTTTTTCTTGAATTTAGTAACTCCAAAATATTTGTCTATCAACAAATTGCTGTTTCCTGGAATCTTACCATGATAGATGCACGTTTCCATTTTTATTTTGCCTACTAGGAGGCTCAGATAAATGTAGTGTTCCACAGCAGTTGCAGACCCATTCTAGACTTCTTTCCATGGTGCTTCCTCCCTAACCGTGCATGCCAGCCCTTTTTGAGTCTTTATGTGCTTTCATATTTTAAGCTCCTTCAAATCCTTTCTTGATATTGCTTCTTAGGGATGGCCCTGACTTTCCTCAAATTGTTATCTATTCAATGCCTTCCTGTTCTTAAAACCTAATTATTTTACCCTGTTCTCAGTTACGATAAGCAGGTTGCTTTTCCTATGGACACATGCACACATTCAACTTACCACAGTAGTTTAATATTATTCACATCTTGTGGTTGACTTTTTCACCTCAAAAGTGTTTTAGGAATCTTTGTCTGGCTCTATCATTGTCATCCCTAAATAGTAATTCAGGTTTTTCCTTCTGTTTTGTTTTTGTGGTGCTAGGGCTTAATTCCAGGGCCTTGGGCACACTGGAAAAGTGCTTCCTCCCTGAGCTGCACTCCAGGTCCCTCATTTTTTTATTTTTTGTTTTTAATATGTACAACATAAAAGTTATCACCTTAACCAGTGGCACAAACAACATCCTGTCCCCTACCTGCAAGCCACACTGATCTGCTTGCCAAGCCTCCGCTCTCCGAGCTCACCTAGCTTCAGGGTTTTTGCACTTTCAATACCAAGAAAACTAGAACTGGTGCTATGGCTCAGGTGGTAGAGTGCTAGCCTTGAGCTGAAGAGCTTAGGGACAGCGCCCAAGCTCAGACTTCAAGCCCCACAACCGCCAGAGAGAGAGAGAGAGAGAGAGAGGAGGAAGAGGAAGAGAGAAGGAAGGAAGGAAGGAAGGAAGGAAGAAAAAAAGAAGGAAAGAAGGAAGAAACCAATTGTAAAGGGATGTGAGGAGCATGATGCTGTAGTCATTATTTAGCTGGATAGTGGTTGCTACATTATGTACGCTCATCTTTGCGACTCACTGCTTACTAATAGCAGAGCTTTCCTTTACAGTGGGTTCTGAACACCTGTGCTTTCTCACCCTGACCAGCTCAGGCTTTCGGACCCAGCGCCCACCATCCACACCTCCTGTGCTCCATAGCTCTTTCTGTGACCTTGACATTAGCCTCACACTTACACACAGAATAAAATTCCCAGCTCGCTGGGCCTTGGTACCCAGGACCATGACAGCTTGTAGTGTCTGGGTCAGCGTCATTGAGGTCAGGGGCTGGCCTGGGTGTCAGGGTGGGGAGGGCCAGTGGGAGCTGTACCTCTGGACCTGAGATGCAGCCCCAGGAGGTGCCCTGGCCCTGCACAACCTGAGTTTCCTTCCTTCTGCTGCAGGATGGGGTGCAAGAAGTCCAAGTTCCTACGGGAGGGAGGCAAGGCCTGGAAAACGGAGCCACACACCAACCCGCACAATCCTGTGTATGTGCCTGACCCCACTTCGCCCAGCAAGATGGTGAGCCGGGGAGGGCCCTGGCAGCCAGTGGCTGCATAGGACATGTGACATGGCTCATAGTGTCTTTTCACAGGGTGGCACAGGGCAAGGTGGCATCAACTGTGGCCTAATAGCCCACATTCCACCTCCTAAGCAAGGAAGCCACTTCCTGTCCCTTGATACAAGTCTTGGGTCCCCAGGTGGGGCTCCACCAAACTGGGGTGGGGGGGAGGATAGGGAGACACCTAGCAGGCCTCCAGCGAAGAAGTTCTGTTTGGTGAGGAAGACTGTAACTGAAGGCAGTGTGGTGTCCTACATGGACACAGTAACTGTCCTGGCAAGATAGCAACAAGAAGTCCAGTACAATGCTCATGTCTGTAATCCTAACTACTCACAAGGCTAAGATCTGAGGATTGCAGTTCAAAGCCAGCCCAGGCAGAAACGTCTGAGAGACTCTTATCTCCAACTAATAGCAAAAAGCCAGAAGGGGAGAGTGCCTAGGCCCAGAGTTCAAGCCCCAGTACTGGCAGGTACACACACACACATACACACACACACACACACCACCACACCACCACCACCACCACCACCACCACCACCAACAACAACAACAACAACAGCAGCAATGGTACGTAGCAGCCTCATGAGAACTAGGAATAGTATTAGAAGTGTTCGCTTCCGCACTCGGCGCTTAGCTCAGGTTAAGCAAGTTCTTTAGGAGTGTTTACACACTCTGTCCTCATTATGGTCCTCCCAAAGGAAGCACTTTGAATTCTACCCATCTGACAGATGAGGCACAGAGGCTAAATAAGTTGCCTGAGGCCCCACAGTTAGCATGGAAAGAGCCAGGATTCAAGATGCAAGTATAGTGGTTGCCATCATCTTAGTAATGGTAAGGACCTGAGAGCCAGCAGTGGCTGGGAATATTGACAGCAGCTGGGGCAGTGTCCTGTTGCGCTTGCTGTGATCCAGACACTGGGTGGGTCCTAATCACAAATTCTCTGCAGTGCCCAGCGGCAGGATTTAGGCCCCTTACAGCCAGGAGGCTTGAGGCCTAAAGAGGTCACACAGTGCAAAGCCTGGGAGCCCTGACTTTGCAGCCCCAGAATGTAGAGCTGTTCAGCTTTGAGGCCCTGTGGTCTGCCCCCTCATCTGAAATTGCTGTGGCACAGTCTCCTGAGGTGGGGTATGTGCCCCCATTTTGTTCCGGTATCTTAGGGGCTGGGAATGTACCTAGAACGTATGAAGCCCTGGGTTTGATTCCTCAGTACCACATAAACAGAAAAACCCCGAAGTGGCACTGTGGCTCAAGGAGTAGAGCACCAGCCTTGAGCAAAAGAAGCTCAGGGGCAGTGCCCAGGCCCTGAGTTCAAGCCCCAGGACTGGCAAAAAATATATATAGAGAGAGAGTCCTGAGACTCCATCAGTCTTCTTCCCTGGATTCCCAGCCTCCTTCATAGCTTGCTCCAAACATAACTGCTCCCTGCACCCCCTGTCAGCTTGTAGAGAATAAAGTAAAGCCACGACCCCGGGCCTCTATCCTTGCTACCACCTCCCTGGTATGAGAACCCCTGGCTCCCTCCTGCCCTGTTGCCCTTCTCCAAGTGTACTGCCAGTAGCTCAGGACAGTTCTGGAAAGGAGAGAATGATGAGACAGCTGTCTTTCTTTGCACTTGGCCACTGTAAACACAGCCTGAGATACTTTGAGCAGTCACTCCTGGGTCTGCTCCTCTTCTAAGCTGGGTGGTCCCCGGAGCCCCTTCTGTACTGAGGCCCCCGGGGTCTCAAAGACACTCTCATTTGTCACAGACAGGAGGCAAAACACCCCCACTACACACACACACAAAACCAGTCTCTGTCCTATCTGGGCATGACACTAAAAGGATGCAATTTTCAGCTAATCCTTGTGCCCTCCTGCTCATAGGGGCTCATATCAGCTTGAGAAGCCCTAAAGTACTGCTCAGAGCCTTTGTGAATCTTCCCAAGTCTGTTTGCTCCATAGTGTTTCCTAAGCTATTCCCTTCGAGTAAATGTCTAATGACATATGTAGCACAAGTCATTAAAAATTTTTAAAAAATGTGCTGGATGTCAGTGGCTCACGCCTGTAATCCTAGCTACTCAGGAGGCTGAGATCTGAGGATCGAGGTTCAAAGCCAGCCCAGGCAGGAAAGTCCGTAAAACTCTTATCTCCAATAAACCACTCAGAAAACTGGAAGTGGCACTGTGGCTCAATAGAGTGGCCCTATGACCAACAAAAAGCAAATAATAAAATTAAATTAAAGAAATATGCTGGTGGCTCACATTTGTAATCCTAGCTACTCTGAAGGCTGAGATCTAAGGGTCATGTTTCAAAGGCAGCCTAAGCAGGAAAATCCATGAAATTCTTTTTTTTTTTTTTAATCGGTTGTGGGGTTTGAACTCTGGGCTTGAGCACTGTCCTTCAGCTCTTCAGCTCAAGGCTGGCACTCTACCTCTTGAGCCACAGCGCCACTTCCAGTTTTCTGAGTGGTTTATTGGAGATAAGAGTTTTATGGACTTTCCTGCCCCGGCTGGCTTTGAACTGCAATCCCCAGATCTCAGCCTCCTGAATAGCTAGGATTACAGGCCCAGCTTTTCCAGGAAATTCTAATCTCTAATTAACCGGAAGAGAGAAAGAGAGAGGGAAAAAGAAAAGAAAGAAAGGAAGGAAGAAAGAAAGAAAGAAAGGGAACAATGTTTACCCCTTTAAGAAAGAAAGAAAGGGAACAATGTTTACCCCTTTAAGAAAGAAAGAAAGAAAGAAAGAAAGGGAACAATGTTTACCCCTTTAGTCAGGATCTGAGAATCCTAGTTCAAAGCCAGCCCTGCCAGAAAAGTCTGTGAGACACTCATGTCCAATTAACAGCAAAAAGTCAGAAGCGAAGGTGTGGTTCACATGATAAATCAGCAGCCTTGAGCGGAAAAGGCCAAGAGGGAACTCAAGGCCCTGAGTTTGAATCCCATTACCAATACCAAAAAAAAAAAAAAAAAGTCAAGCCAGGCACCAGTGGCTCATGCCTGTAATCCTAGCTAATTAGGAGACTAAGATCTGAGGATCATAGTTTGAGGCCTAGACAGGAAAGTCCATGAGACGCTTTTCTCCAATTAAGCACCAGAAAACACCCAAAGTGGATCTGTGGCTCAAGAGATAAAGTGCTTGCTTTGAACATAAGAGCTCAGGGACAGACAGCACCCAGGCCCTGAGTTCAAGCCCCAGGACCATCCCACACATTTAAAAAAAATAATTAACCCAGTATACCAGTATTCTCCAGTATCTTTAAGACCAAAGGCAGAGGCCATAACTCTGATCCTTATTCTAGCTGTGCCCCCAAATAGGCTGTGTGACCAAGGTATGTTCTGACCCTTCTCCAGGCCTCTTCCTACGACACAGGGGCTAGGATCAGACATTCCTGGGTATCCTTTTCCACCACAGGCTCCTCACACTCTCTGATTCATGGCATTCTTCCATCTCTTCTTCAGGGGCCAAACACCAACAATGGGAACCCCCCAGGCTTTGCGGATGATGATTATCAGGAAGCAGGTGGGTATGCACCAAGCAGAGAGGGTTAGGTTAGGCCCTCATTCAAGGCGAGAGTCAAAACCATCCTTGAAAAATTCCTGAAATGGTCTCTGAAGTTCTTTGCCCAGGCTCTGGGGTTCCTAGATCCCTTGATTAGTAGCATGAACAAAATTGTCTTTAGACTTAGTTTGTGGGCTCCTCATTCATAGCAGAGCTGGGGCTGGCAAGGGGCACCCAGGCTGTGGGAGGCCTGGGATAGAGCCTTACCACTCCCATCTCCCTTCCTGGCAGGCTCTGAGGACATCATCGTGGTTGCCCTGTATGACTATGAGGCCATTCACCGTGAAGACCTCAGCTTCCAGAAGGGGGACCAGCTGGTGGTCCTGGAGGAGTGAGTCCCCAGCCTGCTGCCCTAATACGTACCCACCTCCAGTGTCCAGTTAGACTCCTTTTTGTGCTTCAATAAAGATCCTGATAGGACCAGGTGTGGTGGTACATGCCTGTAATCCTAGCTACTCTTGAGGCAGAGAGGAATAGGAGGATCAGAGTCTGAGGCCAGCCCTGGGTCAAAGCACAAGACACTATCTGTAAAAAAAAAAAAAGAAGGTGGGGGAGCCTGGAGCTTGGTTCCAAGAGTCAGAGCACAAACCACAGTACCGCCAAACAAATAAAAAGGACCTGATTGACTCTCTTGTGTAAGGAGTACATGACTGTGGAGAGTCTGAACGTAACCAGGGAGAAGGTTTGGGCCCACCCTGGAAGTTGTGCCCTTACTAAGGCTGCATTTCCAAAGTACTGAACAAGTGGAAACACGCCTTCCCTGGGCTCTGGTTATTAAGCCTTGGGCTTGCATCTCTGATTTGTTACCTTTTGACTTCTGGTCTTCGCCATCAGGGAGTGGGAATAGGGTCCAGGATATTCTGAATCTCAAGAAGAGAAGTTAGCCGGGCACTGGTGGCTCACGCCTGTAATCCTAGCTACTCAGGAGGCTGAGATCTGAGGATCGTGGTTCAAAGCCAGCC